ATGGCTACTGACACTTTCCTCCCCTCAGCCTGTGAACACATGTGGTCTCACATTCATGACCTGGGGGTTCATTCTGCTCTCTCTCTCTACCTCTCCCTTTGGCTACATTCTGAAACTGCAATGTAGCCAGACACACTGGGGTTACTAAAGGGAAATAAGCTGTTCACTTCACAATGCAACGTGCACGTTGCCGGGGAAGTTCCCCCATAGTTTAATGATTAAAGTGAAGCTCTATTGACTTCCTTCACCCAATCACTTGGGGGTTTTTTTTCCCCCGCGCTCATAAATTGGGAATTTTTGTGCAAAGTAAAATTTCACCACATTCACCAAGCAAAGGGAAACACACTGATGCAAAGTGCAAATGTCCTTGCAAAATGAACAGGCCAAATGCCTTTGATAATTCAACCCCAATGAGTGCGGACCGTACGGCAATCATATGTTTCACTCACAAAACTCCATATTAGATTTACAAATGTCTGTCCACTCACATTACATGCAAGACTTATTTGTATGAGGACGAAAGAGGGTATTTTCACCCCTTGGGCTGGTAGGTGTTCTAACTTCTCCTTTTTTTGGTAATACATTTATTTTCATCATGTGGTGTTAAGATTCTGACAGGGTTATTCACAAAAGGGTGAAGAGTTTAGAGAGGGCAGGAGAAGTGAACCATCTAGGACAGGGGTGCCCATTAGATGGTGATCTAGCAGTAGCTCTCAAAGCTGATGCTGGTAGATCAGGAAGGGGGGGAATGGCGGCCCCTTTATTCCATGTTGGTATATTTATTTAGCTGTGCACACATGATTACCTATTAGCCTGAGTCTGCTGAGCCGAGCTCCCCGACACCTTTCTGGTGGTTGAAGTGCTCTGTATTACATCAAAGAATATTAGTTTACACAGCAAAATACAGCAAGGTGAGCCAGGAGAGAGAGCGGGGAGAGACAGCTAGGAGAGAGAGCGGGGAGAGACAGCCAGGAGAGAGAGCGGGGAGAGACAGCCAGGAGAAGAGAGCAAGGAGAGACAGCCCGGAAAGAGAGAGAGGAGAGAAAGCCAGGAAAGAGAGAGAGAGAGAGGAGAGACAGTCAGGAAAGAGAGAGCGAGGAGAGACAGCCAGGAGAGAGAGCGAGGAGAGACAGCCAGGAGAGAGAGCGAGGAGAGACAGCCAGGAGAGAGAGAGCGAGAAAAGACAGCCAGGAGAGAGAGCAAGGAGAGACAGCTAGGGGAGAGAGAGTGAGGGAGGTTTTTTTTTCATTGGTAGATGAAAAGAAAAAAAAAACGAAAAAACTGTGGGCACCCCTGATCTAGGACAACATAGCTGACCTGGAAAGTGAGCTGAATTGGAGAATGTTTCCAATTCATCCATGTTGGCCTAGATTGTTCGCTTCTCCTGCCTTCTCCAAACTCTTCACCCTTTTTGTGAATAACCTTGTTGTGTTCATAGGTTCTATATTGAACCTGCACAATGAATTTCCTGGACTGGAATATCATATCTGAACTTGGATTTGGGTGGCAGTGCTATCACACTCTTTATGAGAGCTATTGGAAGACACATATTGCAGAAACCTGTCGTTAGCACAATGATATTTTGGATGTGTATGTTTGTGTAGTTAGCTCATATGTATTCCCTTATGTAACATAGTTCCCTCTGTGTATCCATCACTTTAGGTGTATGAATCAGACTCACTGAACGGACTATACAGTAGGTGAAACATTTCACCTGCATGTGTTCCCACTGTGAAGGTGACTCTTTGGTGAGAACCCTTTCATGTAATTAGTAATATGAGTTGTCAATAACGCAATGTGGAGTAAAATGATATACCTGTAAGGCGTGGCAGACTAATGCTGGAGTCCCTGCACATGTAATAATAGGCCATGTGGGTCTTATATATGTTTCTGTGTATGTATTCAAAAGCGCTGATAATTCCCATTGGGCTCATTAATTTTGAAGCTTGTGTGAGCTGACAGCTTTAATTGGTTTTGCAAACATTTAATTGATAGTAACAGAAGTGTACATTTCACTCAAGTGTGCACATATTGATACAAAGTGATGTGTACAAGGTGCTGGAATTCGCTCTGTGCTGCGTGCACGGCCGTATCGGGCAGCTTCCGGGAAGGGCAGATGCTGCATGTGATTTAGTATGCAGCTCCCGTCCTCTTCTATGGGAGTATGCAGCCGTATGCTACCCTACACTCACCCTCCCTGCACGTCTGTACGGGTGCAGGTGCCCATACTTGTACGCTGACAGGATGGATCCTCTCTGTGTCTTAGTACGGACCTGCACTTGGGATGAGCGTAGTGCTTCCCCCATAGAGAAGGACAGGAGCTGCTTATTAATCACATGCAGTATCTGCCCTTCCCAGGAGCTGCCCAATACGGCTGTGCATGCAGCATGGAGCTGTATGTGACGGCTTTTTCTCGTGTGAATGAGGCCTAATGATGTTTTAAAATTTTAGTAATAATTTGAACATCCCCACTGCCCTATTTTGCTGAAACTCATCATTTCTGGTTTGAATTATGAAAACAGGCTGCTCTGACACGGATGGGTTAAATTTTCTTTAGGCCATCTTCACCTTGCGAAGCAAATACATATCTGCTAATCTGGACCTGTGATCTTTATAGGTCTTACTAATTACCTGGGTGGGGCACCAGGCATAAGCTACTAACCTTTTTTATGGCTACCCTTACTGAATAGTCAGCAGCCAGTGCTTGACGGCCTCAGCTAAATTTCTGACTTTTAAATTAAATCTGTATATACTATACATGAGTGGTTTAGGAGATCCAGAGCCCTACAAACAAACATTAACCCTTTCTGAGGCAGCCATAACCCACAGAGTGATAAAGTTTAGTGTCTATCCAAAGCTAATTTAATAACACACAGTGCTTTGTGGGGGTAAAATATGAAAATATTGGCATATGTTTATTAATATAAAATGGACAGTGTGGAAGGGCAGTGTAGAAGATCATAAATGCTCAGCCCTCCTCCCTCATTATTCTTGATTGGACTAGGGACCGGCTCAGTGACACCCCCTAGAGGGCCCACAAAAAGCTGCTACAGAAGGCAGCTAGGAAGCTCTTTATGACATTAAAATAAAAGTTATTACCGTACCATCAAAGAAGAGTTCCCCATTAACATCAAAAGAACCTTTGCAAACCTTGCTTGAGGAACAGCCCTTCACATTTGTCTTTCGTTTCATTGTCTGGACTGGAACTCACAAAGAACAGGACTTCTAAGCTCTAAATAAACTTTAAGTATCATTGTGTCTTTGAGGAGTGCTACTGTATTGCCGCTGTCCCTTCTGACAGGAATATGACAGGTCTTGCATCACAAGCATTGTTTAAGTTTCTGAATTGTCATAACATTTAATGGCAACAAGAACTGATCCCAGCAATACACATTGTGGCAGCTATTGTCTGGGTGTGTAAAGGGTTCACTGCAGAGTTAACCAACCCCAGCGATGATTGCTCTATCTGCTGGCAGATTGTTGTCCTGCAGGCTGAACAATCTATGATCAGGGTGACGCTGGGCATGGCATTGTCTTGCCTTTGTGACGGTTTGGTTGGATTGGAACTGTGCATAGCCACATGGTGGTAAGGTACAGTGGGATTGGACAGGGCACTAACATCACACTTCCCTCTTTGAAAATATCTAGTAAGGCAGGGGGTGCCCATTAGGTAGATGGTGATCTAGCAGTAGCTCTCAGAGCTGATGCTGGTAGATCAGGAAGGGGGGGAATGGCGGCCCCTTTATTCCATGTTGGTATATTTATTTAGCTGTGCACACATGATTACCTATTAGCCTGAGTCTGTTGAGCCGAGCTCCCCGACACCTTTCTGGTGGATACTGGTGGTTGAAGTGCCATGTATTACATCAAAGAATATTAGTTTACACAGCCTGTTGCAAAATACAGGAGAGAGAGCGAGGAGAGACAGACAGACAGGAAAGAGAGTGAAGAGAGACAGACAGGAGAGAAAATGAGGAATGACAGCCAGGAGAGAGAGCGAGATATATATAGATCTCTCTTTCTCTCTCGCTTTCTCTCTCTCTCTCGCTTTCTCTCTCTCTCTCGCTTTCTCTCTCTCGCTTTCTCTCTCTCTTTGAAGAGAGACAGACAGGAGAGAAAATGAGGAATGACAGCCAGGAGAGAGAGCGAGATATATATAGATCTCTCTTTCTCTCTCGCTTTCTCTCTCTCTCTCGCTTTCTCTCTCTCTCTCGCTTTCTCTCTCTCGCTTTCTCTCTCTCTCGCTTTCTCTCTCTCGCTTTCTCTCTCTCTCTCTCTCTCTTGAGAGAGAGAGAATTTTAATGTGCTATTTTGTGTATATGTGTGGTTCGTCGTTGCAGCACCTGGAAAAGAAAATGTGCTCCATTGTTGTTTTATAATATGTTATGTTCTCCAACCCCATACATGTTTCCAGGGTGTTACTTTGATAAGTGTGTAATGTGATCAAAACTTTAAAAGAGGTGATGTCTCCGTCCCCTCCCTGATACGTATGTGTGATGGATACTTTTTAGGTATGATGGAGAATGACAGCTCCATTTACTAGAGTGACGCCACTTAGGACAGAGTAAAAGGGTAATTATTGACGAAACTGTGGTGAATATATAGTTGGTGCATTTACACCTAATGTGTATTTCTGACAGTCAGATGTTCCTTCACTCTACTCACCTGTGTGTTTTTTGTTTAATCTGTACTCCCATTGGAGATATTTTCCATTACTTCTAACACAATGTGGGGGGAAACCTCTCTAGTAGGGACATACACCTTAAAAGCATTGGCAGACCCAATCCTGATTATTTCAAACTCCACTCTTCACCTCTTTGTTCAAGTCCATAAGTTGATTTGGCAGTCAGCAGTTATCCTCAAAGCTGACACACGTCTGCCTGTCTGTGTTCGTATATACAAATATATGTTTTACTTAGTTTCCCTTTTCTTCCAAAGTCACATTTAAAAGACAATAAATAGTGTTGATGCAATATAAAACAATTTATTGTTGATAGTGTTTATTGTTGAGATACAACGGCTTTCATTTTAGTCATCCCCACCTGCAGAGCTTTATGAATTTCCTGATTCCTTAGAGTATATATGATGGGGTTTACCATCGGAGTCACTGAAAAGTATGCAAAGGACAACCCTTTGTAAACATTGAGGAAATGGCTACTCCTCGGAACCACAAATAAGCAAATAAGTGCAGTGTAATATATGGTCACTACTAAGAGATGGGAGCTGCAGGTGGAGAAGGCTTTCTGCCTTCCCTCCGACGTCTGTATCTTGAGGATTGAGACTATAATGAATATGTAGGATGAAACAATCAGAAAGAAAGGTAAAATGGTTAATGTAATGCTGATCACTAGGCTTAATGTACGAATAGGTGTGGTATCAGAGCATGCGAGGGAAATAAAAGGGACAAAGTCACAGAAAAAATGATCGATGGTCGGAGGGCCACAAAATTTAAGATTTATTGCAAGGTAAAATATACCTACATGGAATAGAAATGAAATGAACCAAAACCCATTGACGAAATAAAAGCAGAGTCTATTGTGGATGAGGACTGAATACCTGAGAGGCTTACAAATAGCCAAATATCTGTCATATGACATCAGAGTGAGCAGCATTGTCTCAACCATCGTGACAGGTCCAGATACACAAAACTGGAGAGAACATCCAAGTTGGGAGATGGACCCTGTGCCTGATAACATGTGTTGCAGTATCAGGGGCACCAGGTCTGTTGTATAGAGGAATTCACAGAAGAGCAAATTCCCGATCAGGATGTACATGGGGCAATGGAGACGAGGGCTTATACATACTAAGGCTATTATCAGGATGTTCTCAATGCAAGTGAAAGTGTAAATGATCAGCAAGAGAAAGAAGAGAGGGATTCTGAAGTCAGCGAGGTTCTCAAATCCAACAATCAGGATTTCATCATAAAATGTTTGATTTTTCTGAAGTGCCATCTGTGAAAAGAATAAATTGACAGTAATTACTAGGCAAAGCAATCACGACCCAACAGGGATATGTAGGACCCCTGCAGAGAGACCACTGCTCCTACAATGAGACCAAGGGCCCTCTTCTGCAACATGTTTTCTAAAGCTGGCCATGCTATAGATTGTCTGCAGATTTCCGATGGTCAGATGGAAAAAGTGCAACACATTCACCCATCTACGCTAAAATGTGTGGATGGAGGAATCTCCCATTGGGCCAAGCTTCAATATCTTGCTAGTCGACCCCGCTGGCTGTCAAAATACCTGAAAAATATAATTGGACGCCGGCACTGTTCAGGTGTTTTGACAGCCAGCGGGGCCGACTAGCAAGATACTGAAGCTTGGCCCGGCGGGAGATTCCTCCATCCACACAGTTTAGCGTAGGTGGAAGAATCTGTGGCACTTTTTCCACCTGACCACGGAAAATCTGCAGATAATCTATAGGTGTATGGCCAGCTGTACATTAGGTAAAACAATTCACCTACACGTGTTTCCACTGTGAAGGTGACTGGTGGGAATCCTTCTTCTGATGATGATGATGATAGAATACAACACTCTTCTTTCGTGTAAATAGTAATATTAGTTGACAATAACACAATGCCAAGTAAAATGATATACCTGGGATTCTTCTGTGTGTGGAACAGACAAATGGTGGAGGTCCCCGTACATGTCACGAGAGGTCATGAGGGTTTTATATGTTTCCGTGTGTACATTTCCTAAACCGCTGATAATTCCCATTGGGCTCATTAATCTTGAAACTTCTGTTACTGTCAATTAAATGTTTGCTAAACCAATTAATGTCATCAGCTCACACAAGTGTACATTTGATACATAAGTTGATACAAAGTGATACGGGCAGGGTGCTGGAATTAGTTAATACAACTTAAAGGACAATTACACATTTTGCAAAGCTTTCCCTCTCTTCTGGCCGGCCGTTTTTTTACTACGGCCGGCCCGGAGGTAGTTAAAAAAACATCTAGTCAGGAGTCACTGATGTGCTCAGTATTATGCAGAATCACCTGGGGAAGTGTAACTGGGATATTAAAGCAGAAATTCAGGCAACATTTCATAATACCCCCTTTTTTAAATTGTGTTAAATACAGATCAAAATAATGATATGTAATTTAGTACAGCCAGTCTAAGTATCTAAACATGTACAGTATGTGTTGATAGTCCTCAAAACAGCATGGCTCAGTATGGGAGAGGCAGCTCTACTGCATTGCAGGTAGCTGCCAGTCTATAGAACAAATTCATCCATCCATGATGTGGAGTGTGGATTGACGGAACCCTGTGTTTTTTTTTTGTTTTTTTAAGTTTTAGCCCAAATTTACTTGCAACCAGCCACCATATTCTGTCATGACCATAAACATGATCAGTGCAACCTGCACCTATGCATGCTGGAGCCACACACATACCCCACTGATCACAGGCTATGTCAGGAAGCCCCGAACCAGAACATGTGCTGAGTTTTGCCCATGGAGCGTTGCTGGGTTCTGAGTTGTTTTTTTGTGGACATGTGCATGCCAATGTGTAATTTGAGCTCTGGCACCCTTAGGGATATTTAGGCTGTGACGCCCAGTCCTCCTGTGCTGTCTGATTGTCAGCTACACCTGTGTTTCTGTATTCTGATCAGCCTACCTGCTACCGACTGGCTTGTCTTCTGCTGCTGTTCTGTGTTCCTGAGTCCCCGGCTCGTTTCTTGTCACACCACAGATTCTTAGTTGGATTGAGGCCATTCCAAGACATATAAATGCATGGTCTATGGTGGGCTCTGCAGGGTCTCTAGTGTGATCTCCTTTGCCTATTGTGGGCTGTGCAAGATCTGTGGTGTGCTTTGTGGTGTCCATGGTTAGCTCTGCATGGTCTACAATGTTTTGTAGCTGGGTATATGTTGGACTCTGCAGGGTCGCATGTGGTCTTTGCAGCCTACAAACCTTGCACAGCCTACCATAGACCATGCATAGCCACCTGGGAATCTGCAGAGCCCACCATAGGCCATGCACAACCCATCATATATCATGCAAAGTCCACTGTAAGCCCTGTAGAGTCCACCATAGACCATGTATAGTCCTCTTTAGACTCACAGGTTGGCTTTACAGAATTGATGCTATGCCAAGCAGTGTTCCGTTTATAGCACAGTGTGATAATTTTACCAAGATTGACCTTTCCAGCCTTCTGATGATATCTGCTGTCTGCTCTAGCCACCAGCTGCTTTTCTTAACCTACTCCCCAAAAAAAAGGCCAGTGCAGCTTTGTCTCCAGTCTCCTCCACCGCCAGACTTTTCATCGGTGAACCCGGACTCCTGCACCACCCAACATGACGTCATTGCCTATTTCCCCCTCCTGCGTTGAAAAGAAAGAGGGCTATACTCCCTTATTAGTTAGCTAAGGCTGCTGGATTAGGTGCAGCCTTGCTGGCCTCTCTGATTTGGGCCCGCCATTTATATACAACCACTGTAAAGTGTTGTCTAAATAAAATTGCTGTTTATGTCCTGTAGTTGATATGGCACATGCCTCTGATATACTCTTTTTTTATTTATTTATTTATGAAACTAAAATGAAATAAGTGATTTTCTTTTGGATAAATAGTAGATTGATCACTATCATGTTATTTTAAGCACCCTGTTAAAAAGTTTAACCAAAAAAGCATCAAAGTTAAGGAATGTAATCTCGCCCACATAGTTAATATTATTTTTTTTATTATTCAACCGATGGTTTGCATTCTTTAAATTAAAGTGACATTAAAGGATACCCCCGCCCATGTTAATGTCAGCACTTACATTAAATTAGGTTTCTTAATCCGAGCTTCTTTCCTGATGTTTTCATTTGTCCCTCCAGCGGTGTGGCGGCTCTCCGATCCAGTGCTGACTCCTCTGTCCTTGAAGGCACTTCCGATCCAGAGGTTTCTGCATGCGGTTGCACGCGTCCATAGTCATATCTTGCCTCTCTGCTCGTCTCCTGGCCGAGAATCCGAACTGTGCATGCGCCTGCCCCAAGATGCATTGTGGCTGCCTGAGCAGTTACGGATTCTCGGGCAGGAGCGCGCAGCGAAAAACAAGGTAAGTTTAAACCGCTGTTATAGGCAAAAGGTTTTTTTAAATGCTTTATCTACTGCTTGCTAGCAGTAGATATAGGCAAAAAAAACAAAAACCGGAGGGTTTAGAACCCCTTTAAAGCCAGATGAAACAAAATTAATTAGAAGTGTATCTGTTAAATGCAATCAATAATTTTATAATTGATTTAAACAAGGCTAATAACCCTTTTTTAAGATTTTCCTCCTGAGTTTGTAAACATTTTGGAGAAGCATTTTCCTAAAAATAAAGGAACAAGTGTGTGCTTGAGCAAAAATGCAAGCTACAAAAAAGACAGCTTAGGCAGGAAGCTTCAACGAAAATCGGTACCTTTTTTTTCTGAAGACCTTTCAGACAATTCCGAAGATTATGAAAAAAATAACATTGAATTATTTAAGTGATTATCATGATGCTGCCCGAGATGGTGAACGTAAAAGAAAAAAAAAAGCTTTCACTCAAAATTAGCTTTACATCTTAACAGAGGAGGTGTGTGAAATGCCACAACATTGTGCTATTGGCTTTGAATGTGAAAAATGGGCATGTTTGTAATTGAAAATTGTATTAAAATTAAATATGAAATGTAAATCTAAAAATAACATATATATTCGAATTAACATAATTCTCAATTATTCTACATAGGTATTCAATAATTTTGAGATTCTCATAGGTAAAATGTCTGGGAAAACGAGTCTTGCTATGAAAAAAGTATGGAACGAGATACTGGATAAGGTGAATAGTGCAGGTGTGGAAAGGAGACCTATTGATGAGATAAAGAAAAGATGATATGTAATGTCTGAGCCAGATTATAGTTCTACTACAAGATGTATACCCTGTGATACATAGCTGTTACAGTGGATTTTCTTGACTGTTTCTCGAGTACACTTTGTGCTAATGCTATTTTCTTTCTGTTTTGTTACAATTTCCATGAAAAATATAAATAAAGAATTTATAAAAAAAGAAAAGAAAAGATGATATGACTGCAGACGACGCTACAAGGATAAAGCTTCTTTTTTACGGAAGGAAGCTCAACGTACGGAGGTAGTTGTCACGTACCTGTCTGATCAGCTCCTGTTCGGGGTTTGGATCTGGGTCTCTGGCGCGGAAGTGCACAGACCTAGCCATTCATCCACTGGAAGGACTTAAGGTGCCCATACACTTTACAACCCTCGCAAGACCTTAGTCTTGCGAGGGTTGTAAAGTAATTCAAAAAACTACGATCTGCCCATCTTGGACAGGCAGATCATACTTGCGATCATCGCAAGCCCGCACCCCTGAGGGGCGGGCTTGTGATGACCGCAATGCTGAACGGGCAGTGTACGCGTGTGCACACCGGCCCGTTCGGCATTTTGTCTCCCGAGCATGCCACAAACCAGCCGAAAATCGTAAGATTTTCTGCTGGTTTTCAAACATGCTCCTTAGAAAAAAGATGTGCGACCGTACAGTAAAAACGGTCACACGCCTGCCATACACTTTGTGATAATCGTACGATCGCGGGATTTCCCGTGATTATCGTGCGATAATCGTACAGTGCATGGGCACCTTTAGTTTCTGCTGCAGGTTTTTTGTACTGAGCAACTCTCCTTATGGACACTTTGGCTCCACCTGCCAACCAGCTGTAATAGATCTGCAATTACCTCAGAGCACAGGAAGTGTCTGGTATTTAAAGCCTAAGCCTGTTGATTTGGGTTAGTTCCCTGTGTGAGCGGCCTCTATGTTATATGCTGGATTTACACTGTGACTTTTGCCTGATTCCTGACTATTCTTCTGCCTGCCGGTTTTGTACCGCTGCCCGATCATGTCCAGACCTCAGCCTGCTTCCTGACTGCTCTCCTGGATCCCGACTTTGTACCTCGCTGCCATACTGTTGCCGACCCTGCCTGCCTGACCACGTATTCGCCTTAT